ATATTTAAAAAAAGAAGAATCAGCCAATGAATGCATAAATAAGTGAAACAAAATTGACATTTTGTTCTTTTTCTACCTTCTCTTTCTCTAAAATTTTTTAAAAAATATTTTTGACAAGTTTTTATAAATTTAGAACCTTCTTTTGTTTCCTCTTCTGCTGACTTGTTGAAGAAACAGGGTTAGTTGTCCTATAGGATGTTGCACATTCTGGACTTGTCCAATTACTTCCTTTTCTCTTTTTCCATGTTTCTTGTAGACTGAGTAGATTAAGGATCAACATTTTTGTACAAAGCCATTGAGTCTGGTTATTGTTCTACTTTTAATAATATTTACATTGATCAGTGAGTTTCCACAGTGGTGGTGTATTTCCTCTAAATCTGTGGAGAGATATTTGGCATCCAGTTCCTCAACCATCTTTCACCAGTTTTGTTGCCTGAATCATTTTCAGGAAATATTATGATTCTCCTATACATATGAACTGGAATTCTTCTGAACTAATGAGCTTTCTCCCTTCAATAAATGTTATTTGGTTAGACTTTTTTAAAAATATTTTTTATTGATTTCAGAGAGGAAAGCAGAGGGAGAAGCAGAAACATCAATGATGAGAGAGAATCATTGATCGGCTGCCTCCTGCTTGCCCCACCTGGCGATCAAGCCTGAGTGCATATGCCCTGACTGAGAATTGAACTGTGACCTATTAGTTCATAGGTCCATGTTCAACCACTGAGCCATGCTAGCCAGGCTATTTTTAAAATATTTTTTAAAAGATATCTAATTATTAGAATTGTTGTATGTCTATCTTTTATAGACTGAATCCCTGGAAGGCAGACTATGCTTGCTGTATTTCTAATGCATAGTATCATCATAGTACATTTAGTAAGCTCAACAAATGACACCAACTCAAATAATGCACCAACTCAAAGCTGGTGATCCTCTCCATAGGGATGTGCCAATCAAGAGTACTCTTTAATTAACCTCTGAGTTAAATTTAAAAAGTTAATCCTGTAAATTAAATCATGATGACTATTTGTGATTGAAAATGAGAAAAATATTTACTCTTAAGTGGACTTTTCCAGCAACTTTGGGTGACTACCTTTGTCAGTCATTTATAAACCAGAGAAGATACTTTTAACACATATTCTGATGTGTTTTCTTAAATTTTATTTTTAATTATAGTTTACATTCAATATTATTTTGCATTGATTACTTGTGTGCAGCTTAGTGTGGTTAGACAATCACATACTTTACAAAGTGACCCCGATATTTCAAGTACCTACCTGGCATGTAGTTACTACAGTATGATTGATTATATCCCCTATGCTGTACTTTATATATTTAGGTGCTCCTATATTGGGTGCATATATGTTTACCAAGGGTTATATCCTCTTGTTGGATCGATCCCTTTAGTATTTTTTAAAATATATTTTATTGATTTCTTACAGAGAGGAAGGGAGAGAGAGAGCTAGAAATGTCAATGAGAGAGAAACATCGACTAGCTAGCTGCCTCTTGCACACCCCCTACCGGGGATGTGCCCGCAACTGATGTACATGCCCTTAACCGGAATCAAACCTGGGACCTTTCAGTCCGCAGACCGACGCTCTACCACTGAGCCAAACCGGTTTCAGCCCTTTAGTATTTTTTTTTTTAATATACTTTATTGGTTTTTTACAGAGAGGAAGGGAGATGAATAACGAATTAAAAACATTGATGAGAGAGAAACATAAATCAGCTGACTCCTGCACACTCCCTACTGGGTATGTGCCCGCAACCAAAGTACATGCCCTTGACTGGAATAGAACCTGGGATCCTTTCATCTGCAGGCCAATGCTCTACCCACTGAGCCAAACCGGTTAGGGCTGATCCCTTTAGTATTATGTAGTGACCTTTGTTGTCTCTTGTGACAGCCTTCATTTTAAAGTCTATTTTGTCGGATATGAGTATTGGTACTCCAGCTTTTTTTTTTTTTTTCCATTGGCATGGAAAAAATTTTTCCATCCCTTCGCTCTCACCCTGTGTGTGTCTTTGGTGGGTCTCTTGTAGATAGCATTTAGTTGGGTCATGTTTTTGTATCCATTAGGCAACCCTATACCTTTTGAGTGGAATATTTAATCCCTTTACATTTAGGGTTATTATTAATAGGTACTTATTTATTGCCATTTTAATTCTGTATGCCTAGATTTTTCCCTCTGTTTTGTCTTCTCATACAGCAGTCCCTTTTAGAGTGGCATCTCAAATCTAGAATGAATGCTAGAAGCTCTTTATTTGACCATATATTTTGAATGATAGTCTTGCTTGATATAGTAATATAGTAATCTGTTTCCAGATCCTTGCTTTCCATTACTTGAATACTTCATGCCATTCCCTTCTGGTCTGTAGTTTCTGATAAGAAATCAGGTGTCAGCCTTGTGGGAACTCTTTTATAGGTAACAGTTTTTCTCTTGCTGTCTTTAAGATTCTCTGTCTTTAATTTTTGGCATTTTAATTCTGATGTGTCTGGGCATGGGCCTGTTTGGTTTATCTTACTTGGGGTTCTCTGTGCCTCATGAACTTATGTGACTTTTCCTTTACCAAGGTAGGGAAGCTTTCTGCCATTATTTCTTCAAACACATTTTCTATTTCTTCCTTCCTTCCTTTATTTCTTTCTTTCTATTTTTTTAATCTTAAACTATCTATTTTATTTTGTTTGTTATTTTTAATCCTCACTGAAAATAGTTTTCCACTGATTTTTTTTAACATATTTTATGATTTTTTACAGAGAGGAAGAGAGAGGGATAGAAAGCTAGAAACATCGATGAGAGAGACATCGATCAACTGCTTCTTGCACACCCCCTACTAGGGATATGCCCGCAACCAAGGTACATGCCCTTGACCGGAATCGAACCCGGGACCCTTCAGTGCCCAAGCCGATGCTCTATCCATTGAGCCAAACCAGTCTCGGCTCTTTCTTTCTATCTTTCTTCCTTCCTTCCTTCCTTCCTTCCTTCCTTCCTTCCTTCCTTCCTTCCTTCCTTCCTTCCTTCCTTTCTTCCTTTCTTCCTTTCTTCCTTTCTTTCTTTCTGCCTCTTCTGGCACACCTGCTATTTGAATATTGTTACATTTCATGTTGTCCCACAGCTCCCTTAAGCTGTCTTCCTGTGGTTTTTATTTGTTTTTTTTTTTATTTTTTATTTTTTTTTGATTCTCTAATTAGGTGATTTTTTTCAATGCTGTCTTCTAATTTACTGATTCGATCCTCAGCTTCCCCTAATCTGCTATGTATTCCTTCCAATGTATTCTTTATTTGTTATGTCATTCTTTATTTCCAACTATTCTTTTTTTTAGTTATTGTATCTTTTTTCATACTGTTGAGTATCTTTACATAATTACTCTGAACTCTGTTTCAGATAAATTTCTTATCTCTGCTTCATTTATCTCTTCCTTCTGCAGAATTCTCTTGTTCTTTCATTTGAGGGTTGTTTGTTTTCTCATTATGGCTGTATGTTTGAGTTTGTGACTATGTATTAAGTAGATCTTATACACTTCTCAATCTCTAATGTAGGACACGATCAAATGCTATTTCTTATTAGATCAGGCAAAGACTCACAGCCTCCAGAGAGCACCTCTGCCTACAGACTGATAGGATTCTGATTTGAATGACCCCAAGCAATCGTCCTCAGGTGTGGCAAGAATTTTTTTCCAACAAGTTGGGGCAGTTGTTTCTGCCTGGAAGCTAATTGTTATTTTTACTTTCTTAAGTGTCCTTAGGGCAAGATGTTTACCAATAGGGTGGGTCAACTGTCTTCTCCTCATGAGGCAAATGTCTGTGTGGGAAAGCTGTCCTCTGCCGTGTGAGGGAATGACTCAGGCCAGGAAACTGGGGGGGTGTCTGCCTTCTGAGTTCTATCCTCAAGTCCTCAATCCTGGCTTCTGCTCACACAGCTCCAATCCACTCTGCCTTCCCTCTGCCAGAGCAAAAGGTGGCTCCACAGGGAATTTTGTGCATTGGCTCTTGAAGAGGGTGCCTGAATTCCCAGCAATCTCTCCCTGGCAGATAGCAACTCCTCTGCCTTTCACAGTCAGATATTATGTGTGTACCTTTCTCAGTTGTGGTGCTCTCTGCTGGGGCATCCAGCTTGGATATTAGATCTTGGGTTGCTCAGCGGCAACCCCCCACAGCAAAGATATCTTTCTGGAACTTCTGTGGGCACCTAGCCAGCCGTTTCAGGCTCGGCCCCCCCTACCAATCTCTATCCAATCTCCACTTTCTGTCTGTGGGTATCAGGGTTCTCTCCTGTGAGACTTCTGTTGATCATTTAGGGAAGTTTTTCTGTATTTTAGTTGTAATCCCAGCTTGTTTCTGAGAGCATGTCTGTGCAGCATCCACTAACTCTGCCACCCTTTTGAAAATCTTTACCCTATGCTGTGCTTTACATCCCTGCGACTATTTTGTAACTACCAATTTGTACTTCTCAATCCTCCCATCTTTTCACCCAGCTCCCACCTCACCCCACCCCATCGGATAGTTCCAATATAAAACACCCAAATGGAATCTGGAAACAAGATTTTCAGCCTGATAATAAAAATTGTGTACACTCGCTGTAGTGTCCGGAAGTCTGCATTGTTGGCAGCGTTAGCTCACACAGCTGTCTTACAGGTGAATTTCTGTTAAGCTGGGGCTGGGTCTCCATGGCGGGGGTAGGGCATGAGGGGGCGGGGAAAGCCTTGGCCCGCCCACCAGTGAGGCCGGCAGAGCTCGCCATCCCTCCCACCTCCGCCAGCCGCCGCCCGCCCCGCCCTCCCGCGCGGTAACCCCGCCCGCCCCGCCCCGCCCCGCCCCCTCCCGGCTCCTCTTCCGCCGGCTCGGCCGCCTCCACGGGATTGGCTGCTGAGAGAATCCTCGCGGGGCTCCGGGGCCGCCATTGCTGATCCTCCGCGGCGTCCGCGGGCCGCGCGGGCTCAGGGCGCGCAGAGCGGTGGGCGTTGGCCGCGTCGCGACCGCCCTCGGGGTGTCGGCTCCGCCATGGCGGCGGCGGCGGCGGCGGAGGGCGCCGGCAGGGATGCGGGTCCCGCGCCGGGCGCCCGCAGCCCCAGCCCGTCGCCTGCAGGAGACGGCGAGGAAGCGGCGGGCGAGAAGAACCCGGGGCAGAAAGGAGCGGAGGCCGCGGGGGACAGCGAGGAGGACGGGGAGGATGTGTTCGAGGTGGAGAAGATCCTGGACATGAAGACCGAGGGGGTACGTGAGCGGCGGGCGGCGGCGAGCGGGGTCCGGAAACGGTGGGAGCGGGGCCCGGCCGCGCGTCGGGGCGCAGGTGAGGGTGGCCGGTTCGCAGTGTTGGGTGTTGGCGCACCTGGTTGGGGCCTAATGTTACCGAAAAGGGGGACGGGACGTTGAAATTAGTCCGCTGCCCAGAGTCCGTGTCCGAGCTGTCGTTTCAGTTTTTTTGGAAACTGTAGTCAACTTTCCGGTGTGAAATCTTCAGGATTATCAACTGTAATTGAAAAGTAAACAAAAATGTGCACGTCCAGTCGCCTTCTGCATCCTCAGCCCTAGAGGGTGATGTAAAGGTTCACCGGAACGGCGCGCTGTCACCCGCCTCCTGGGCATCACCCGGCCGCCCGCCCGGCCGCCCGCGCCCCTCGGCCGCCGCCCGCGCAGCCCCTGCTGCCGCCGCTCTTCCCGCCTCCGCAGTGGGCCGCCGCTCGGGGCTGTTTCCGCGCTTAAAGCATCAGCGCTCCGTTTTATGTTCTCCTGCTCCTTGGAATGTGATTTTGTTAATCTTGGTTTCACGTCACTTAATCCAGTGCCCAGCATGCAGTTAGCGCTGAGTGTATATCCCTTTATTCGATGAGGAAATGAATTGTGGGCTGGAGGGGTGAAGGGGAGAGAGAACCGAAGGCCCCACACATATAGTGGATTCTTTCACTGTCAGTTAACTTCCCATTCGTTTTGTACTACCGTGATTCGATTATTTTCAGTCATTCAACAAACTTTTTAATCATGTCCTGTGTGCTAGGGGCTGTGATGGTTCCTGAGGATATAGAGATGAACTGTAGCTACACACTTGCTGACATTGAACAGTAAATAATTGAAGTCCAGTGCCATTAATACTATTGTTAGTTGCACAATACAGTAAAGATAGGAACATTCTTAGGTATAATTTCCCCAAATACATTGTAAATTGTAGAGGGCCAAATGGGAAGACGCCTGGACATTTATAGATTGTTGCTGACTGGGCCTGGGGTATTGACAGAATCATGTCAGTTGCACTCCCGCGCTGGGAGTGCAGACATGTTCTTAGTTCCTGGCTTGTGTTTGTTTGGGAGGAAGGAGTGGGTGAACCTGGGCCCTCCCAGACTCCTTGTTTACCTGTGAAGCCCCTTGTTGGATTGGAGTGTAAATAGATGTGCTGTGTGGCTCAGGGGGTCGTCAGTCTGTCTCTCCAGCAGAGAAGGCCATCGGCCCTCCCAGCTCCCAGCTTAAAATCTATCTCTGTGTCTTCTCTCTTTATTTCTAGTATTTCTCAATCCCTGGCCGCCTCCACTTAGAACTATTCGTTCATCTCTCTCTGTGCGGGACCAGAAAAGGGAGATCCCCGCCTTCAGCCCCTCCCCCCCTACCCCCTACCTCCTGTAAATGCCTTGAGGTCAGAGATAGAGCCAGTCTTTAAATATTTTGCATCACCTGCATTTAACACAGTGCTTGGCACATAGTAAATATTTAGAAAATATTTGGCTTGGAGGGTAGTATCTTTAGAATTAAGAGAATTCATCTTTTCATGCAATCTTAATTTTGTAAGCCCCAAAGAACTGTAGGTAATATATTTAAAACCTCCCCTCTGGCTCACCCACTTTAGTAACACACACTCACCTGGTAAGTTTCCCTGGCCAACAGCTGGGTGGACTTCAAGCCGAGCCTGGGTACTGGGTATAGCAGTACCAGCCCGCAGTAGCACAGCCAGAAACAGACTAGCTTCATTGGGACAGGACATGAACTGAACCATTGGTGCAAAATTTCTGGACACTGGGAACCCAAGGCAGCCTTCTACTCTTACCACACCACAACCTCCCACTGTAGGTCTCTAAATGTTTTCCTTGGGACTCTGAAAGAACATGATTTCCACTGGCGAGAGGAAGATGAAAACAGTACTAGAGATGGACAGTAGTAATGGTTGCACAGCAATGTGAAAGTATTTAATGCCACTGAACTGTACATTTGAATATAGCTAAATAGCAAATTTTAAGATACAAATATAAAAAAATATAAAACTAAATTATTTTTAGTTACCTGTTGTACTCTTTGCCCATTTTCTTGTTCATTTACAGCCAATCCTCTTTTTTGAATGTCTCCCATTTCAAATAATTCAATTCTCAACCAAGTTGTTAACAGAAAAATTTCTCCAACTTGTATTTTTGTTTTTTATTGTTTAAATATTACAAATAATAGTACATATGTCTCCCTTTGTCCCCACCCCCCACCCCCCAACTTAGATTTTTAGCTGACAACCCTTTTGTGCTGTTAGCTCAATATAGCAAAGAGCTCTCAGGCCACAAGCAAATGGGATAATGCTTCTGTTGTTGGGGAAGTCAATTTTAAGACATAAAAAGGGCCTGGAGTGCTAATATTGCTAAGGGTGTGAAAGACATAATTATCACAGGCAATTTAAAAGATAGAAAAACTGTTGTAGATTTTGATAAATGAAAAAGCAGTTAGCCAGGGACAGCATTTCAGAGGCAATGATATATGAACAAGCAAAGATGGTGACCTGAAAAACACCCCTGGAATGAGTGCTAAAAGTGATTTAAGCCTAGTAGAAGGTGGTTCGATAAATTTAAGAAAAGAAGTGTTTAAATAATTATAGATTAAACAGTACATTAGATATGTACTGTATATAAGAAAGGTTAAAACAGAATCATTTGTGTGTCTGGAATGGATTAATTAAATTTACATTATTCCAGCCCTACCTGGTTCAGCTCAATGGATAGAGCATCAATTTGCTGACTAACAGGTCCCAGGTTCGAATCTGTGAAAGGACATGCCTGGGTTTGGGGGTCGATCCCCAGTGGGGAGCATGCAAGAGGCAGCCAATCAATGATTCTCTTTAATCATGGATGTTTTTATCTTTCCCTCTTCCTTCCTCTCTGAAATTAATAAAAACATATTTAAATTTACATAATTTCTAATGGGGGAAAAAAATGATTCAGTTTTTGAAAAAATTGTTTCCAGAATGAATTAAGCTCGAGAACGAAGGTTACACTATATAAGAATTTTTCTTTTTAAATATTTGTGGCTATTCAATCTTTGTCATATGTATTCCAAATTTTTGCTTCTCAGGATTTCTGGTTTACTTTTTCTGCTCAACACCCAATCTTACTGAGGAGCAAGAACAAAACTCAGCAAGTAGTTTTCTACATGAACTACAGAGAACCATTCTGGCTGTACACTTCTGAACAAAAAAGGATACACACACTAAACCTGACAAGCTCAGGGGAGTCTTGTATGGTGAGCCTTACAAAACTCAGAACCCTATTAGTAAAATAACCACATAGGATAATCTGAAATTAAAACTTCCTAACTAAAAGCCAGTCATGGCAGGGAGGCATGTCCTAGTATCTTCTTTGACAAAGGTCAGTCTTTACTTAACTGAGCCTGTCTGTCTATTGTCCTTTTGTATCAGCTGATAACATACCCTTGGAATGTCAGGGTAGTTTTCTTTTTCCAGATCCTCAGAGCACAGTCTCCCATCAGAACAGGAGTCCACATAGCCCCTCATTATTGTTATCCTGTTAATTATTATTATTTTTTAAATATTTTTAATTGATTTTTTTACAGAGAAGAAGAGAGAGGAATAGATAGTTGGAAACATTGATGAGAGAGAAACATCGATCAGTTGCCACAACCAAGGTACATGCCCTTGACCAGAATCGAACCTGGGACCCTTGAGTCCGAAGGACAACGCTCTATCCACTGAACCAAATTGGTTTTAGCTTTGCTGATTTTTTGCTTAGAGAATTTGTCCAATGGTGATAGTGGGGTATTAAAGACCTTGCTATTATTATATTGCTGTCAATCTCTCCCTTGGTATTTCCCAGGAGTTTTTTAATGTATTTGGGTACTCCTGTACTGAATGTGTATATGTTTACCAGAGATATTTCTTCTTGTTTGATTGCTCCCTTTAGTAGTATTAAGTTACCTTCCTTATCTCTTTTGATGTCCTTCACTTTAAGATCTAATTTGTTAGATATAAGTATTGTTACCCCAGCACATTTTTCATTTCCATTCACCTGGAAAACCTATTCCCATCCCTTCATCCTCAGTCTGGGTATATCTTTTTTTCTGAGGTGTGTTTCTTGTAGACAGCAGATATATGGGTCATGTTTTCTTATCAATCCGTTACCCTGTGTCCTTTGATTGGAGCATTTAATCCATTTATTTTTAAAAAATATATTTTATTGATTTTACTGAGGAACTGAGAGGGACAGAGATTTAGAAATGTCGATGAGAGAGAAACATCGACCAGCTGCCTCTTGCACCCCCCCCACTGGGGATGTGCCTGCAACCAAGGTATATGCCCTTGACTGGAATCGAACCTGGGACCCTGCAGTCCGCAGGCCGACGCTCTATTCACTGAGTCAAACCGGTCCTGGCTCCATTTACATTTAAAGTTATTACTGATAGGTATTGTTTGTCGTCATTTTTATTCTTTACCCTGTGTTCCTTCTTCACTTTCTATTTCTTTTTTTTATAGCAGACCCTTTAGCATTTCTTGCATTGCTGGTTTGGTGGTAATAAACTCCCTTAGTCCTTTTTTGTCAGTGAAGCTCCTGATTTCACCTTCAATTTTGATTGATAGCTTTGTTGGGTACAGTTTTCTTGGATTCAGACCCTTCCTTTGCATGACTTTGTAAATTTCATTCCATTCCCTTCTTGCCTGATGTGTTTCTGTTGAGAAATTAGTCACTAATCTAATGGGGCTCCTTTGTAGGTAACGTTCTGTCTCTCTCTGATCACTTTTAAGATTCTTACTTTGTCGTTGGTGTTTGCCAATCCTACCTAATAAAAGTAATATGCAAATTAACCATCACTCTGCTCCACAAGCCACGCCCACAAGCCAATCACACTGAGTATGCAAATAAACCCAACCAAGATGGTTACAGCCACAGAGAACAGAAGGGAGGCATTTTCCTGGCAACGGAGGAAGCCAAGCTTTCCGCCTGCCCTTGTCAGCCTAAGCC